TGGCAATCCATTCAATTGTTCCCAAGACATTTGACCAAAATCTATAAAAGGCAACCTGTTGGTGGCACTAAATGAAAAAGAGAGTCATACAACATAAAGGCTTCAGGTCAGAGGATCAAAAGTCAATGGACGCCATCATCTGGACCATGAATGTCACAACATTTTATGTTAATCCACGGACCATCCATTGACTGACAGACCATCACCGCCCTCCATAGGTCCGTGCTACTAGCACGGCTCAAAAAGCAATTTTTTTCTACAATTAAAATCCACTTGGTTTGCTTCTTTTATGAAGATCACCACCTGGAGGTCTGAGGTTTTCCATCTTCCTATTTACCGCTGTATCATTGGTTGATTGGTGTTGATGCTGAGTGTCCTGCTGTAATGAGGCCAGAGGTCAGGGGATGTGTTCGCATAAATACAGACATTCAGGACCAACAAAGCCTCCCCCTGTTTTTTCTCACTATTATATAGACGTCAAAATAGTTTAAACAAAGGAAAACAAATAACTCCACAGGTTGGGATGTTTACAGTGTAAGTGGCATCAGGCCAGCGCAGACCTGAGCAAAATATTTATATCCATGTATCCACCCAAGATAACTTTTAGCACAAATCAAAGGTATCAACATTTAAAGAAATAAAGGCTGGCACATGCACACGTTTTCTGATAAAATTTAAGAAAGACAAATCATTTTGTCCAAGTTTATTTTAGGTTGTAGTCCCTGTTTTGAACAAAGGTGAACTTCCTCTGCTCCGTCTGTGACCAAGGCTTGAGAATGATGTCTGTTCAGTCTGATTTGGAGTTGAGCGGGCACCCGCAGACAGGGCCACGCACCTCCTCATCGCTAAATAAAGATCCACTTGATGGATACACTCGGATAACATAAATCAGGATATCCCATCAGGAGTGACGAAGTGCACCATTGTTTTGGTTCAAGTGGGCAGCCATCCTGACAGACAGTGTATACTGTACATGGGAGAGGACAGGAGGTTCTCTCTATTGAATCTTGCCCTGATGGGTCATGTCAGAACAGGTCGTTCATATGTGGTTACGCAATGTGGCTGACAGGTGTGGCCCTGCATTTATACCGCAGGAACTTTCCCTGGGGACGAAGAACTTTTAGAGGAACTCAGTATATTTCCACTACATGGACCAGGGTCTTAATAAAGTTCTAGAGATATTATTTCACCATAAAAAAAAGTCTTTCCAAAATTATAGCAGCTTTGAGGGTGGGCCTTACAGCGCGGAACATTTGTTATTGGTTGAGCATTTGCAGAATTTTATTTCAAATCTGCAAGCGCTTGTTTTTTGTTTACTTTGCTTCAACACATCAGTAACAACGGACTAAAAGAACCTTGTAGTTGCTTGGAAAGTAGTTATTTTTGGGCAGAAACTCGTCTTAAGTGAATTAAACGTCAGAGGAGAATGAAGCTTTGACCGACACTCAATTTGATAATGTGATTCAATAAGCATCTTTATGCTGGATTTCAGGAAGTTCAGAAATTAATTAAAAACAATTTGATGTATTTTAAAAGTTCCCAGTTAGCCCCAACCAGGATTTCAACATTAATTTCTAGTTGAAAACTGTTTTCAACCAGCTAAAAGGTGATTACAACACGGTTTCACAAAACACAAATTTGTGATAATTTTGATCATTTGTTGATGATTATTTGTAGGTTGACAGAAAGATGATGTTGATTGATATGAAGGTAAATATTCAAATATATAGGCTGTGTGCTGCCAACAAGAAGCTTTCTGCAAATTGTAATGAGAGAAGTTCTATACGTTAATGTAAATAATAGGGAATTGTGCTTACTGCTGTAGGTCTGTGCAAGTACTAAGGCGTATTAGTTACAACTTAGACTACTCTGAAGGTATACATGCACCGGGACTTACAGTATTGTGAGCAGTTAGTCTTCAGCCTTCTGGCTCTTTCTGATAAAAAGGCCTTGGGAAGTCCAAGTATATAGTATACTAGTATAGTAAGGAAAGTGACAGTTACGGAAGGAAGATGTGAGCTTCCTCCAGGAGACTGCAGTTTGAGTCTCGTGTGAGGCAAGTTTTTATATTTCCTATAGCCCAGTGGTTCCCAACCTTTTTCCTTAAGGGGATTATTTCCTGTAAAGGCAACTTTTTATACAATTCTCTGTCTGCATTATGTATTTTTTATCAATAGACTTCTATTTGACAAATTCAGTGTTTTCTTGTCCCATTTGTTCATTGTTCTATTAGACAATTAACTTTACATTTATTTTTATTCACAGAAGTAAACCAGATGCTGAGATATTGGCCTACTATGTTTCTCGCATGCTTTTAAAATCAAGAAATCATTGCGATCCTCCATGAAGCATTGTCGACCCCCAGTGGCAGCCCGACACCCAGGTTGGGAACCGCTGCTATAGCCTAAGATATGTATCTTATAACACCTAGATGTAAGCAAGAAAGGAAAAACGGTGGAGAGGTCTTGTCTAGACTAAACAAGCAGCCATAGTGCTCAGAACTGACCTGAAACATGTGCCTCTCTCAGCCACAACACTCAATCTTTAATTGAGTTTTAGATATCTGGAGCACTGCATGAGAAGCAAGCAAACCATGAAAAGTGCATCTCAGTGTGAACAAAGACAGGGCACGGCTTGCTTCCGAAAACAAACAGCCAATCCAGCCAGATGGATTTTCCATCGCAGAGCTGTGTTAATGAGAGGAAGCAGGGGAGTGCTTCCCAGGGATTGCATTGTGATACTGTGGACCGTTCCACCTTCAGCAGCTTGATCGAGGGAAACCTCCAAGAGTTTGGCCCTCACTCCTACCTGCCCTCCTTAGTATGGTAATCCCCGCCTGTGATACCTGGAAAACAGCAGTCCGCATCCGCCTTCAGCCTGCTATACGAAAGGATGTCTGATAACTGATACTGCTCTTAGATATACATATGACTCAGAAGCTACACTGCCAAACTTAACATTCAGTCAATGCCAACTTCACTTAATGTTCTTCCTGTTCTGTCCCACAAATTCGTGGAACATATTGAAAATAAAAACAAGTGCACGGTGCAGTCCAAGGTCAGAGATATCTGAGATCTATTGTTGGAAACAGGTAAACAGCTTAAAGAAATATTTAAGTTTTTTTTTAGTCATATATAAGTCTTTCCCTGGTGGTGCATTAGTTTGCACAAATCAAACACATGTCAGTGAGGAAGTTGCTGCAGGACTGAACGTGATAGACGGTCAGAAAAATTTAACAACCAATTATTCACGCAAGTAAGTAAGATAAGACTCCATTAAAAGCACAAATATGACTACACTGTAAGCATGAAGCCAAACAAGTACATTCAGTCTAATATCTTGTCATTCATTATGCAGGTGCCTTGTACAATTTTCAACTACCTGTCCAAAACAGGAATCTCGCTAATGTGTGCACATCCACGCAATATTTAACTTGTAAAATTGATGCAACTTGCAAGACACTTCATCATCTGCATCATTTACGCTGATTCATTAACCTCTGATAGATTAATCACAAAATACCACTGCTACTCATTAATGGACAGAAATACTAACCCCAAAATATACAGGCGAGAGGTAACTTTCAACAGAGAGTGTCAGAGAAAATATTTAGACACCATATTCACTCAATGTTTAAATTCCCCTCCAGTCAAAACTTTCTTATAGTTACTTTGCTGTGATGTTTGAGCTCCACTGTGCAGAGTGATGGATGTGCAGAGTTTGTTTTCACATTCATCAGCTGAAGAAAGTTTCTCCATGGTCACCTTAAATCTCACTTTAACACGTATGAGCAGGATTTCGTGACATCACAAGTAACATTTGGTCAATATTGGTCAATATACTTAAAGATTCTGGAGATTTCGACGAGGATGAGGGAGGAAATTATGTAAGAATGGTTCATTTAATTTTCTTGTGGGAAAACCATATCAGATACATATAATTATTTACTATTATTATTATTAATGGGTATGTTAACAATGTCTGGAGGGGATCTTGAAAACCTTTTTTAATATGTTGTTTCTTGCTTCCCTATCACCTAGGTTGGTACACTTTAAATGACTCAAATGGAAAAAGGCAAATTTTAATGTTTTATTTGTGTCTGGAATCTTGGTGTGATAAAAATAAAAATAATGTTTAAACTTTAGATTTACACACTGTAGCTCATCTGGAAGGGTGCACCACATGTAGTCCTCACCGCAGTGGCCCAGGTTTAATTCCGACCTGCTGCATGTCAACCTCTCTCTCTCTCCCCCCCCCATTTCCTGTCTATCGTCACCTGTCCTGTCCCATCAAATTAAGGCATAAAAAGCTCCAAAAATATCTAGAAAACTTAATATTTATCAGCTGTTGTTGCAAAACATCAACAAAATGTAATATTTAAACTTATTGGATTACCAAGATCAGCTGAGGTCCTTCTTGTCTCCTGTGACCAAACCTTACCACACAGGCCTCACTGGTGACGATAAGATGCTGATAAACATATGTCGGTGTGTCCGACCACCAGCTGTAAAATCCAACAATCTGACATCAGACCTCAGGGGTTATTTCTACATTTCAAAGCAGCCAGCTGGTCAGTCAAATTCAGATTCTGGCAGGGGTCAGCGTGCAGAATGACCCCTGCTGAGGCTGGCCAACTTTGTTTTGAGAAGGCCACGAACAGCTCGAACATGAAAAAGCTCTATGGCTGCTGCACCTTCAGTCTGCACAGCAGAGGGGAAGTTCCCTCCTAGCGCACAACGTAAACTTGGCTCCAATAAAAGCATCCGTTGGCACCTCGGTGGACAACAGGAAATCTTCGTTTATCGAAAAACATCCCGTTGTTGGCCTCGGGGTGTATGACCCTGCTTGTTGTACTGCGGCAGAGCGTAATGTAGTAGCCGTGGTGGAGCCCCATATTTCAAGCTCTCAGTGTACTGAACAAAGCTGTCACATCCTTAAGATAAACAGCCGAGGCATAAAGTATATATGTATATGTACTGGCAGCTGGTCCTGCGTCAGACCCTCAGACCCTTGTCCGCTTGTCAAAGTGCCTTATGTATTGTTTAACAGAGCTGTAGACTCGATGTCTGACACTCCCATGTTTAGGGGCCACAACACCTAAAGTTAGAATTAGCCAGAATAAGAGAATTTTACAATAAGATATCCATTTTAGAGCTGACATTATTGTGACAGTATGCTGACAAAAACCTTTCTGTATTTACACTCACAACGACAGAGCTGCTGAATCTGTTCAGTTGACCCAGTCAATGGGTTTTTATTACGTTTCCAGCAACAGATCCATTTCATTCACAGTGAGAGTTCAACACATTTACGTTTCCATACACTATATCCTCACATACATATGGACTATATACCAGAGCATGGGTATATATGGTTGGGTAAATATATGCAATACATCAGATTCCTGATAACTGAAGAAGTTACATTTTGAGGATATTTGATACCACTTGTTTACTTCTGTAGGTGTGTAGATCAACATAAGAATACTACAAGTCATGGTGAGCTATTACAATACACAGTCTTTCACATTTCCATTAAAAAATGCACATCTGGAGACGGAGAAATGTCCTTAAGTCTGTGAGCGTGTACAGTACGAGGAGTACCTGAGGTCAAGTTTCTTTACGTGGTTGGTAATAACATTTGGTACAATCAGTTTTTGGTCAAGGTGCATGTACATCTCATCAGTATCTTCACAGTATGTCTGTGACTGCTCTCCTAACACCAACAGCTAGTCTTCTCTGTGAAATTTGTTTATGTCTTCCATATTGTGGCTCTCAGCAGGTTGAGGTGTTGCGTTTCTGGCACTTGTCCTGCGGTTTCGCCTCAGGCGGTGCTCTGAGAACCAGTTGGAGACGGTCATGGCGAGGCGGAGGAGACCCAGACTGATGCAGTGCACCTCCGAGGTGATGGGGATTTCAGAGAAGAGGGCGTGGTCCCGGCACATAAGGACATTGCTGCATTCAAAGTCTTTGACGATGTTGAGGATCTCCTGGCGCTCCGCCTGCCGCATCATCCCGCGTATGTTGAGCAGGGTGGAGACATGCTTCTTCCTGTGGGGAGGAAGGATACAGGGAGGAAGGGGGATAGACGGGTGTTAATGGAAATTGGGTCTGTTTGGTGTCGCCAAAGGCTGTCATGACTTACTAACAGTCACATCTGAGTCATAGGATCTTTTTCTGGGAAGGATTGGAAAATTTTGTGCTATAAATATAGTAATACTTTGTCATTGTCTAACAAGCCACCAAGTCTGCAGGTAGAAATAAACAGGGTTTTTTACTAGGGCTGCACAGTGAATCACAATATAGCCAAGTGCAATATCCAAATCCCAGAAGCTGCAATTTTTTTTGACAAAGGTACATGACAGCATTATAATAAAGTACTGTGGAGATGAACTGATGCCCTTACAAATCTTCTTCTCGAGAAAACATGTCACATCATCATGATTTTAAGTGTTTTTTCAGTGAAAATTAAATTTGTGATGCCATGTGATTGATCCTACTAAGCAAATTATATCGCAATCTGTCAAAATAATCACAATATGATTTTTTACCACATCGCGCAGCTGACGTTTTTACAGTAATCCATTAAATCTCTAGTTGTTCTTCCTGATGTATTAGCATTGACGTGATGAAGTGCTACCAGGAAGAAAAAGCAAGTGTCACATCAAGGGATTTTGCACAATCTAGGGACCCAAACGTTGTTGTTATTGATGGCTTCTAACTGGCAACCAGTGTTAAGGTGCGTTAGCGCCACCTACTATGTTGGAACCACAAAGCGAGAAAAGAACAAAATGGAAGTGATTTAAAGGACCTTGTGTGTAGTATTTGGTGGCATCTAGGGGTGAAGTTGTAGATTGTAATCAACTTGATAACAGCTTGAATGAAAAACACAAAAGGCACTATTTAAAGCCAGTGTCTGGTTTGTCCATTCCGGGCTACTGTAAAAACACGCCAGTTTGTGGCGGACCCCGCAGAAGAGGACCCATTCCTTCTGTAGAAAACGGCTCAACTAAGAAAACGAAAACACAACAATTCTTATTTTCAGGTAATTATGTGTATTATTAACACACACAATCATTATTTCCTTTTTAAATATCAAAATTATCGTCAATATTAGTTGATGACAACCCTACTTCTAACTAAAACATTAGTACATTTTTGTTTCCGGAGAAGCCAACAGTTGGAGTTTAGGTTCATGTTTTAATACGGAGGGGAGATCCGTGTATGCGCGTATGCCCATGTGTAGGCACAGTCACGTGTGCATGAATGAACTCAGCTGCAGTTAAATGAAGCACCCAGAAAACCCAAGGAAGGCCAGCAGCCTTTGATCTCCTAAAATACCAGCAGGGGATGCCATACAGTAAACAAAAGGGGTGAGTTAAGCGGTGAGTTAGCATGTCTCCAGGTCTGAACTACTATGTTTTGCTCTCCTCTTCTACACCTCTCCCTCTTTGATTCCAAGAGTGGCACCAGTCTGTCTCCTGCAGGGTGGCAGGAACAGGAAGTACTCGGCAGCAGCTTCCTGTCTGCTCCGCCGAGGCTTATGCGTCATGGTCGTAGGTTGCCAACCGTCACTAGTCTTAAATCTGTGCACAAACAGCCTCGGTGGCTGGGACTCCCCCCATGAGGCCTCTCAGCTTCATCCATTCTCAAAACAGACCCGCGCTCCTCTCCAAAAATAGCAAAGTTAATGTAAAAATGTTTCCGCGCCTCTTTTCCTTGTTTTGATCCATTGTGACAAAAAAAAAAACAACATACATAGTCTTACATTTTCCTTGCTTTGGCTAAGTGCCAAAGACAGCACCGAGAATGTGTAGCAGTAAGCATAAAAGAATATAGGACCTTTGGGGGTAGAGTGCAGAGAGTATCTGTTTTCATAGACGCTTCCTGGTTGCAATAGAAACATTCCAACACTGTTAATTTGTTAAACCACTCACCGTATATCTGGAAACTCTTTCACCAGGACAGCAACCTCCATCTGGATGGATGGAGTGTCCTCCAGGAGAATAATGTCAGCTAGGTGGCAGATGATGCTGTCCAACCAGGATGAACTTGATTCCTAAAGCAGAGAGAAGACACTTTAATTAACATTAACATTAACAAAACTTAAAGTTCACTCCTAAATCAGTTTCCTCCTGTTCCTACAGTGTGATGTTT